AGCCTTCTCCAAGTCCTTCATGTACTTTCCAATTCTGGGATTCATCTTGTCAAAAGCAGCCTGCCACACCTTGTCACCCGACGAACCCATTTCCTTGACGAAAATGTCAGTTGCCACCTACAAAAATTGAAATAAAATACATTGATATAATACATTGATACATTGAATTATCACGCAAAAGAAGTTTCTTGTTTATAAAGTATATATATACATAACTGAAGATCCTTAAGCAGCTCTTTTGCTTTGAATGTATGGAGGAAATCAATCAATGTATTGTTCCAATTTCCCGTTAATTTTTGAATATTCTAGATGTGTTTTTCCAAATGAATAATTTCACCTTCAAGTCCTTCTCGTCAATGTCCAAACGCAAATGCCTATAGGCCAGCCTTTGCAGCACTTCATCAATCATCTCCTTGTCCTCAATGTTCTCAGCCATGGCCCCAATGGCCCTGGTGAACATGAGTGAGTGGCAATGCAGGGCCTTGTTTCCCTTCAGCTTGTCACTGGGAACATCCCTGATTCTCCAGAACTTGGTCTTGTACTTGGGATGCTCAGTGAACAGCCTGAAATGGTTATGGTTAGCATACAGTCAACCCCCGTCTAACAGACTTGATTCATGCAAGGGACAAGTCTGTTAGACAAAAAGTCCTTTACACGAATTCAATTACATAAAAAAGTAAAAATTTCAATTTTTAACACTAATTTTAAACCAAAAGAAGTCTGTTTGGCGGATTTTGTCTGTTGGGCGGGAGGAAAAACTGCTTGCAGAGCTGGTCTGTTTGGCAAAAATCCCTTACACAGGAGGTCTCTTAGGCAGGGGGCCACTGTATTACTCATTAAAGCATTTGTTTTTCCATGAGGCATCAATTCATCCTAAGTATTTCATGAAAAATGAAGTGTATTTATTATTGTTGCTATCAATTATTGTTCCAGCAAAAATGGAAAAATTTTCATTTCACAATCTCCCCAAGGCAAGGTTCAACAATGAATTTTTTGTTGGTCCCATTTGGTTCTCTTTACCTGTTACATATAGTAATATCTACAACAAAAAACTTTCAAGAGGTTTTTCTGAACCATCAAATTTTAATTTTGTCCACTTGCATTTGCTTCAGTAACCTGTGAGGGATTTGGATGAACTTTCAGTAATGGTTTTCAACTTTTAAGCACTTGCTGACGGATAACGAAATGCGAGCAGTATTATTTAATTGTGTTTTCAACATAAAGCTGGTTTTTAACACATTTTTATTAACTCGCTATCTTGTCTGTTTGTTTGTCGGGATCAAATTTTGCAACTCAAATTTTGCTCACTTCCCGACTAGCTAGCAAGCTGAAACTTTCAGGATAGCTTAGAAACTGATGACAATGCAATCTTTTGTGAAAAGAAAAATTATAAGAATATTTTTTAAAAAGAATAAAATAATTATAGTAGATTAAAAAATTAATCTAAAAAACCACGTTTT